TGGAATGAAAAAAACCATTAGCGACCAAGTCAAGAGCAGTGATAATTTCTGCAAATGGGGGAGGACTTACAATTAACTGGAGAGCACAGCCCAAACAACCGACAATAACAAGCCCAGAGAACCCCAAGTGGACTTGACTGGAAAAAGTGGATCAAGGCATAAAGCAATTGTGAAAGCTATACAACAACTGTCTACACAGCTTCTCCAGCCTCCAGCAAGCCCAAAGACCCCACCCACCACACAGATCTAAACCACCCGCGGGCAGGACTTCAGGCAACGCCAGAGACCCCGGGAGGGTGTCATCATTGCCAGATCACCAATCCTCAAGGCAAGTGTAACCACAGTTATAAATGTGGCGTTTGACCACTGGGCTATTGGCTGTCGTAAAGTCACTCATGTTTCAGCCTCGTCTAATTAAATTGGCACTTGGGTACCATCTTGGTAATGACTGATGCCCAGTTCAACGAACAGCCCTCTCGATTCAGATTCATTTTATTAGCCATGTGCAGTATAAAAAACTACTTGATACATTTGCAAAAAAGGTACTCTGTGTGCACCGACAGACCAAATAGCACGATACATGTAATATAAAATACACATACACTGAAATAAAAGAATAATAAAAAAACAGCTGTCACTGTGGCACCGATCAACAAAAACGATACAAGGGGTAAGCAGGACTTAAAGTTCTCTGTTTAGCGAGATGATCTTGCATCTCAGCGACCGATATCTTCTGCCAGAGGGAAGACGCTGGAACATGGCCTTTCCCAGGGTGGTGACCAGAAGAGTCATTGATGATTTTATGAGAAAAAAAAACACTCTGTTTAAAAGTCTGGATTATAAAGAACCTCCAGAACAGGAAGGCTTACAGCCACAGTCTCCTTTTGCAGAGCGAAGAACCTTGTTTAACGTCTTTTCTTTATTTGTGATGTTATCCGAACCACACATCACAGAAACCCCCCCCCCAAAAGGTAAACTCACAATGGTGCAGGATAAAGTTATGCAGTTTCTTAGAGTTAGTGGTAAATTCTCTAAGTTTCCGCAAAAAGAAGAGCCGCTGACGAGCTTAAATTCACGGTGCACAACGGAGCTCTTGCAGCGACGCCCTCGGCGACGGCGCCATCTTGGAGTTTCTCACAGTACGCAAGACAAACCGCTAAAGCTAGAGGGACGATATGCCTCTGTCAGAGCGTCATTAGATGAAGGCGGATAGGACTGTTGTGGACATTGGCTCACAGGTGTCTATTATCGGAGTGGATGGGTCAAAAATACTATATTGGACTATTACAATGTGTGGCTGTACAACACTAGGCTGACTGCATAGGGTTGAAAGTGTGTGCCGTTGGACCCAAGGAGGAAGAGGGCAGCACCGCATCAACAGCTCAGGGTACATGGGAGGGGCCACAAGGGGTAGCTATGGGATCCACCTGGGACCTGAAGCCATCTCTTCCAGAACAGCAGCAAAGTCAAGCAGATGTGAGAGAGGAGAGCCCACCGTGTTTGCCAAGGACAGATTGGGACACTGGATGTATTAAAGAACTTCAAATGAACTTCAGTTAAAACACAACGTCCCAGTCCAAAGGTTCTTATAACTCTATCGAACGTCATCTCTACCCAGAAAGTAAAGTCTCACATTCAAGAATCTGCTGAAGTAGAGGATGGATTCAAAAGTCATGTAATACACTATCGTCACCTAGTGTTGTGTCCAAAAAAAAAGATGGAACCCTCGTCTATGTGTGGATTACAGACTTTGGAACCAAATACTTTGACTGATCGCCACCCCATCCCCCGGATCCAGGAAATTTGGAAAATATCGGGGGCAAAATCACGGGGGCAAACTCATGGTTCACTGTACTGGATCAAGGCAAGGCATAACCATCAGGGATTTGTGTGTGAGCAGAGCGCCCATTAGGAAATCCGCAAGACGGACGGGATCAGTCCCAGCCTCTGAGGGTCCTACCTACATTACAACCTGAGCCTCAGCCTGGAGAAGGTACCTGTCCTGTGGACGCCTCTTGTGTGATCCCGGTTCCTAAAACCAGAGACAAACAAGGAACCGGATTTTCACTACCTGAACAGTCGCACTGTCCTCCCACCTGATGAAGGACATGAAGCGGCTCTCTCCTCACTTCTCCGGCTCTGTGGTCAAGCCCCACCCTGGGACCCGCAGCAGTCGCCATACAGGCCCAATATCGGAGTAGAGGAGCCGTCATCTACTTCCTGCAGCGACGCTCTCCCACCTGGAGCCCACCGGGAGCGCTTGTGAGGGTAGTGTTCTTTCGACTTCTCCAGTGACTTTCAACACCATTCAGGCGGTACTTGACTGGGGGGAAGAGGAGGTCGCAGGAGTGGACAGTAGCCTCACTGCATGGACCTATAGACTACCCTCAGGACCGACCACAGTACGTGCGGCGAGGGTCTGGGTGGTAGTCCTGGCAGTTCTGGGCCCCCATCAGGGCACTGTGCCTCTCACCGTTTCTCTTTCACCATCTACACTTCAGGACTTCAATACGACCAACGACACATGCTGATCACTGCAGAAGTTCTCCGCCATCGTGGGCTGTGTGTTTGAGGGGAACCAACTGGAATATCGTCAGTTATCACAGACTGTCGCTGGTGTGTGCGCACCACTTGTCGCTTGAACACCAGTAAGACCAAGGAGATGATCATCGACTTCAGGAGAAAACCACATTCCCACAAGCTGCTTGAACATCCAGGGGGAGGACATTGAGCTGGTGGACGCTTAAATTACCTGGTGTTTCACCCAGGGAGGCGGGGTCCGAGCTCAAAAAGTGGCTAAAATGATGTGCGCCGACATGCTGCAATACCACCCGGGCCGGTGGGGTGGACCGGAATAGAATTAGCCAATTGCTAACATAGCACTTGTGGCCATGTTGGATAGCTCCAGTAACAATATTTTTGGCCCATTGATTGTAAGGCGGAGATAGCCATGACTACTAGGGTAGGGCGATATTTTTTTTGTTTACCGGGATAAGTAAATTAAATGAATAAGAAAATGCTTATACCGTGAAAACGTCATTTAACATGAAAACAGCGAGCGGAAGCACGTTTGTGTGCGGCGCACTTTTAATGACGCATCTGCGCGGCACGTGTAGCGAGCGGCCGTCGCAGGGACAACAACAACAGAGAGCAAAACATGGCTGAGGGCGGCGGTGAAGACCATGGTGAAGACATGCAGATTGTAGAAGACATTGTGCCAAAAACGCGGAGCTACCACAACACATATGGGAGTAGTTTGGGAACTAGATCAAAAGAAGCAATTGTGTGTAACTATCGACCGTGATCTAATGTTGTGAAAAGCAGCTGCACTTAAACCAGTGGTTCCCAAAGTGGGGGTCCCGACCCCCCGGGGGGTCGCTTGGGAACCCTTGGGGGGCGGTCGCAAGATGATTTCCAAAAAAAAAAAAAAAAAAAAAAAAAAAAAAAACATTTAGCTATTAAATAGCCTTAAATATGGATATAAACATTTTGATTTGATTCAAACCGACTACTTGTTAAATTGTGTTAGGAGAATATAAAATATTGTAAAATTACGTTTGTAATTTTGACCAGTCATTGACAGCGTCAATCAAAAAATCAAGTTAGTAGCTTTAAGTCACGCAGGCGACCAAAGCGTTTGTGTCCAGCTGGGTTGTTTGCTAAAACTAAAGGTGTTTGAGGCTTCAAACAAATAATTCCTGCTTTAAAATGAAAACTTGGTTATTATCCACTACAGAAAAAAAACCCGGAGGGAGAGAAAGATCACATTAGAGGTCAGGCTGTGGTTGCGAAGAAGAGGGAGAGAGGGCCAGCGGATGGGAGAGAAGGGCAGCGGAAGAAGAGTGGTGGTAAAGAGGCCCGGCTTTTCGGATAAGTCAGTTTGGTTAAAGAGGTCCGCCACATTAAAAGCGGGTGGGTTGCTTTATGCTGATACTTACAGTAAACGTTGAAAAGAAAGACGCTGGGGATGAAGCGCATTAAAGTAACAGCAGGAAAAGAGGCGCCGCCCGCATTTTTGATGTGCGGAACCTCTTTACCGCTGACTCCGAAAAGCCGGGGCCCTTTACCACCCTCTTCTTACCGCTGCCTTCTCTCCCGCACGTGCCCACTCTCCCTTCTTGCACCATCAGCCTGACATCACATGTGCCTTTTCTCTCAATCCGGGTTTTTCTGTAGTGGGATATTAACCACGTTTCATTTTAAAGCAGGTAGATTTGTTATGAAAGCCTCCAAACACCTTTAGTTTTAGCAAACAACAGCTGACACGCTTTGTCGCTGCGTGACGTAAGTACGTAACTTGATTTTGATTGACGCTGTCAAGACTGGACCCAAAATTACCAAACGTAATTTAATTATTTTATATTCTCCTAAAACACAATTTAACAAGGAAGTCCTTTTGAATCAAAGTCAAATGTTAAATCAATATTTAGGGCTATTAAATAGCTAAAATTTCTAACTGTACTGTGACGTGTGAACTCAGGGTAATGTGATGGCTTAGATTTGGGACCAATTGCTGAACGGGGAGGGGCGGCAATTTGATTAATCGATAGACAGAAGTTTCTAGTTTGTCCATAGATCCAGTAGATGATGTGGTTCCAAGTAGTGGTGTGACTGCAGCAGGGGGTTTCATCAATTATTACATATACATAATGAATATTTTTATTTTTTCAGGTTAAAAGGTGAATGTCAAGAATTCCACACATTGGACATTTATCTATGGACAACTATGCCATTGTGACCCGAGGTACTTAAAAATAACCAATAAAATAACTAAAGTATTAATAAAACCAAAGGACACACACAGGTAATTTTTGTAAAAGCCAGGCAGAGACAGTGCTTTTAAAATATTCAATTAAAAGTTTATTTATAACGGCTTGAGAGGGGGTAGCCCCCCAGGTTGTTAAAGTATTCTTCTCTTTTTGCATAAAGAACAGCATATTTTATGGGGCGGAAACCAGAGGCCCAAATTTTCATCCTCCTCCCATCCTCTGCCGGCCGACCTCATCTCCCCCACGTCCTCCTGCTCCTCATTAGATCTGCCGGCCGACCTCATCTCCCCCACGTCCTCCTGCTCCTCATTAGATCTGCCGGCCGATCCCATCTCCCCCACGTCCTCCTGCTCCTCATTAGATCTGCCGGCCGATCCCATCTCCCCCACGTCCTCCTGCTCCTCTTAGATCTGCCGGCCGATCCCATCTCCCCCACGTCCTCCTGCTCCTCTATTAGATCTGCCGGCCGATCCCATCTCCCCCACGTCCTCCTGCTCCTCATTAGATCTGCCGGCCGATCCCATCTCCCCACGTCCTCCTGCTCCTCATTAGATCTGCCGGCCGATCCCATCTCCCCCACGTCCTCCTGCTCCTCATTAGATCTGCCGCCGATCCCATCTCCCCCACGTCCTCCTGCTCCTCATTAGATCTGCCGGCCGATCCCATCTCCCCCACGTCCTCCTGCCTGCTCTCATTAGATCTGCCGGCCGATCCCATCTCCCCACTTCCCCTATTAGATCTGCCGCGATCCCTCCCCCTCCTCCTGCTCCTCATTAGATCTGCCGGCCGATCCCATCTCCCCCACGTCCTCCTGCTCCTCATTAGATCTGCCGGCCGATCCCATCTCCCCCACGTCCTCCTGCTCCTCATTAGATCTGCCGGCCGATCCCATCTCCCCCACGTCCTCCTGCTCCTCATTAGATCTGCCGGCCGACCTCATCTCCAGCACGTCCTGCATTTAACAGAATTAGGAGTAGTAGTAGTAGTAGTAGTAGTAGTATTAGAATGTAAAAATGTAATACTTTAAAACTTTACCTCCAACTCCCGGATCCTGAACTCCCTCTGAATGCAGGAGGGGTGCCGGCATTCAGAGGCAAGGCTGTCCTCAAGGTCCAAAGACGAGGCCATGGGAGGTTGTGGGTCGGTATCCCGCAGCTCCGATAGCTGCTTCAATGCGGCATCTCTGCGGGCTACCTGCAGGTATGCCGCCCTTCTGCCGGGGAGCAGATCACTGTGGCGCTCTATATGGATGGCGAGTCGTCTCCGAAAGAGACCACACCCCGGGACCGGGCATGTTCCCTTTCCAATCACAACCCTGCCAGTGCATATGGCGTTGAGTATGGTCCTCTCCCTTGCGTTTTTAATTCCATGAAACTCGCGGATATGTTTGCTAACATGCTGTAGCACTTTGAGGCAGATGGGGCACTGGCCCGACACTTTGGGCTTAGTCATCTAAATGAAAGGACAGAGGAACATAGTATTAGCAGTAGTAGAAGCAGGAGCAGTAGCAGTAGTAGTAGTAGTAGTAGTAGTAGTAGTAGTTGGAGAGTACTTACAGCTGTGATGTTCTCAGTGCTGGCCTTGGTACTGGTACTGAGAACTGAATTTGAATTGAATTTATTTCTTTATTTCAAAACCTGCACAGAAGACACATTTGACAAATGTTCAGACACATGTTCAAGGTTTGAAAAGGGGTTGGATGAAGCACTATGCTTATTTTAGCCCAACCCTCTCACCCACACAACACCCGTCAAAATAATCCAAAAATCACATCACAAAGTACTATTGTCAATACAACACTACCACCAATGGTATACAAGAATACTACTGTACATTTTGCCAAGAATTTCAATACGATACTACCACCAATGGTATACAACAAAAAATGTATATATATATATATATATATATATATATATAGTATATAGAAAAAAAACAACAAAAAACAACCCATGCGCATACACGCACATTCACGCACATTCACACACACACACACACACAGGCCCGGACACTCTGACCCCACCCCTCTCTGCCATCACTCGCTCTGTGCTGAGGGCATCACTCTCTTTCCTCCTTGTATTTCTTTAGTACATCTTTTTTAAACAAAGCTTTAAATTGAGTCAGATTTGTACTATTTTTAAGTTCATCCTTTAAGGTATTCCATAGAGAAACTCCTCGCACTGAGACACACATTGACTTTAAAGTGGTCCTAAATTTAGGCAAGTATACATTTTTATTTCCTCTTAGTCTATGACTATGATGCGCGTCTCTGTCACAAAATAAATTCTGAACATTTGGAGGCAGAGAGTTTTTTGATGCCCTGAACATAATCTGAGCAGTTCTAAAGTGAATCAAATCTTGTAATTTAACCCTTGTATTATGTTAAGGGTCAATTTGACCCATTTCAGTTTTTGAGTTGATCAAAGTACTGGTTATCCTTTCTTTTTCTTGCTGAAATTTGGTGACTTTTCCTCATCTAGGGTCATGAACTGATGTGTAAAATCTGGACACTTTGATGTGTAGTGGAATGTCTGTGCAGAGTTTGTATACAAAGATGATGTTGCGGGTCAATTTGACCCAGACGCTTTAATGTGGGTAAATAGTTGTTCAGATCCAAAAAAACATGTCTCTTTGACATTGTACTTTGATTGCCTCTGAGATCCAGAGCCAGGTGTGTGAAGAGAGGGAACTTTCTCACACTTGTCCTTGTCACTGTTCTCATGTCATCTCTTTTGCCTAGCGTACATCGGACTGGCACCTGATTATATCCGTCGCCTATGAGTTGCTGCCCCGCACACATCGACAATCTGGCGTAAACGGGCAACTCCTAGTAGCAGACCAGTCTCGGGAATCACAGGAATAATAGTTGACAGCAACTGGCCTCAACTACAGTGTGTTTTCTGACATAAACTGTGGAGGGCGCAATACACGCAATACACACATGTTGTTGGAGCGCGCACATCGGGTGATATCTCCGGATCTGAGAACTAGTTGCCGAAAAGTAGAACACGGGCAACTGACTGAAACCGGAGATCGACTGTTTATCTCCAGTTGTAAGAGCGCTCACATCGACCGATTTCGGCAACTGATCATCTCCATCATCTACTCTCAGTTGCCAAAAGCCGCCTTGAAACTAGTTGTCTCCAGTTACTTTGTCGATGTGCGCTAGGCTTTAGACAAACTCACCAAAAATGAGCTTCAGAAGGATGACATCTGAGGAGGCTTTATCACAGATTTTTAACTGGGATAATGATGTAGAGGAAGAGACTTCAGAAACAGAGGATTTTTCAGAGACAGAGGACAATGTTATTGCTGATCCAGATTGTCAATTTTCCTACAATAAGGAGGATTCAGAGGACGAATCTTTGGTCAAGGAAAGAGGAAGGGAGGACGGACGGAAGGTAGGAAGGAAGGAAGGGAGGAAGAGAAAAGAAGGGAATAGATGAGGATGAACAGAGAGAAGGAAAACAGGATGAGAAAAAGGAAGGAGAAAGCATGACAGGAGGAAATAATTGTCATTTTGACCCGAGAGGAGGACAAGAGGATTAGACTAAATATTTCTTAAATATAGCGTTGGAATTAAAAATGTATTGTATGTCACTTTTATAAATATTTATATAACCTACGATATAGTTGTTATTGGTTTAACCTGTTTTCTTGACTGTTTTGAGTGCATTTACACAGTACGGGTCAAAATGACCCGCAACATAATCAATGTAATTTTTTTTCAACATAATACAAGGGTTAACTAACATAACTAGCTGTAGATGCTGAAAATGCTTCAATACCAGTCAAAAAAAATATATATGTAGTAGTGCAGTTATATACTGTATAGTGCAGGATAAAAGTATATAAGTAAAGTGACATGAGGTAAAGTGACATTGTTCTGTGACATAAAGTAAAGTAAAGTATCAGTTTGTACGGTACATTCTTTCTTTTTTTGGAATATTTTGTGTTCCTGTGGAAATTATCCTTGTACAACTTTGTTTTCGATGCCTGACCAAATAAACTAAACTAAAAAAAAAAAAAACATTCTGAAGTTGTAGTATTGCACATTGCACATGATTTAAGAATTTACATAATTACAGATGAATGAAATTTACAGGCTCAGCAGTTCTTATTGTACAGTCTGACAGCAGCAGGATGCCTCGTATGGACCAAGGGCTCCTATGTGTTTGTTTAATAATGCCATTTCCTGTGTTGGCGAATCAAAAACTTTGTAGCGTCCACCGAGACGACGGCTGTTGACTGCTGTGATTTAGGGCTATACAAAAATACAATACGTTTGATTTGTTTCCAAAATTTTTCTCTTTCTGGTTGGACAAAAATCTTGCGTCATTTAGAAAAAACAATGTAAGTGAAAACAAATATTTCAAGTGGACTTTTCATTTAGCACCACTTCTTTTTATTTTAGTATTAGGATATAAGGTAACAGCACCTCCAGCACACGTACACAATATTAAAAGTCATTCATTTTCACTATATTTCTTCCCTGCTGTTTGCGAGCACCGAGCCTGCTCATTATGATGCAGAGAGCGCAGCCACGACACTCCACTGGATGTTTAATTTAGCCTGTGTCTGATTGCTTTATTTGAGTGCCAAGTGATTCTATTATAGCGGCTTATAAGAATGTACAACTGTTCCCCCATTGTTCATTTCCATACATATTGAGATTAGAAGTTTATTTTTCTATTTACTTGTTGTGGGCACATTTATGTTTAATTGACATTGCCGAATATAGTTCCCATAGAGGCACAATGTATTTATCATATACTTTGGAAGTCTGTAGACGCCAGGCGCTCATCTCTAGGACTGGGGTGCGTCAATGGTGGAAACCATGGTAACAGACTTAATTGTGAACGTCATTATAAGCGATCAATGCTTAGAGGATGTACCTACATATAGATTATGAAAGTAAGCTTTCGATCAATGGATCTGGTTGAGAAAAAAGAAAATGGTTGCTTATCATGTATTTGTATGCATGATAAAATACATTCAAAACTAAAATAAGACAATAAGTAATTTAATTAGTGCAGAATATAATGTTAATAAGGAACAAATCATTTTGAATTCACACACGAAGAGGGTAAACAGAGCACCACACAAAACAAACGGTTTTTTGCTCTATTTATAAATGATGAATTGAATTTGAATTTTCCAATGTATTTTATTGTATCTATAACAATCTAATATTTTTACAAGTGCTTTTCTGTGCACTCAAAGATACTTCAAATGGCAATGATCGCTCACTCCATACACAGTGTTAACTACTGTTGTTGCCACAGCTGCCCTGGGGCATACTGACAGAAGCAAAGCAAACAGTCTGTGCCATTGGCCCCTCAGACCACCACCGACTCAATACTGCAGTACTGTGTAAAGTGGGTCAAGTAAGTAAGGTCTCCCATCACAGGACTAACCAGGTCCTGTTCTGCTTATGTTTCTGAGATCTGATGTATCAGGCTTTGCTCCACAGTTGTATATGTGTATCAATGTATCATGTATGTTAAATTAAACATCTTGATTCGGACATTCAGAGCCCAGTAGAACGAGCTGTGTCGTGCTGTGGATTTTGTTATTTTGGACTTTACTTGACATCAGTTCTCAGTTTGTTTGGATTTAGTTTTACTTCCTGTTCCCCTGCGTTGATTGTCTGCCCCGCCCTAAAGTGTTTCACCTGTGTCTCTCTGTGTCTCTCTGTACCCTGTGTTCCTCTCCCATGTGTTCCTGGTTCCTAGTTCCCATGTTCCGTTTGGATTTTAAATTAGCTTTTTACCTTGAATTAAAAAAAAAAAATCATTAAATCCTAATTTTTGGCGTTCTTGCATTTTGGGTCCTTCCTTCATCTTACCCACGTGACAAGCTGACCTTCAAGTCCAAATCAAATATGCTACTTTTCGATGTACTTACCGACCTGAACCTAGTCACTGTCGTACAGATCTAAGAAAACAATTGGACTTTTTCAACATGTATTTGTGAGAAAGGAGCCATTTTTTTCACTGTCCTCCAACTGAAATAGTTCTAAAACATGGCCTGCATGTGAAAGCCAGATCCAATCAGATCTCTGAAGCTGTAAAGTGCCAAACTGCTGCAGTGTCCTTATGCAAGACACTTCACCCACATTGGCAGTGTGTGTGAATGGTTGGCGGTGGTCGGTGATGGCTTGATGGCACATAATGGTTGCCTCGCTTCTGTCGGTGTGTCCCAGGGCAGCTGTAGCTACAGTGGTAGTTTATGACCACCGTGTATGGAGTGAATGAATAATGACATGTGAAGCGTCTGAGTCCAGTTGAGTCTACCTGTAGTGGTTTCTTCAATAATAATAATACATTTCACATCTCGGACCTCTTGACCCCATACTGTTCTGGCCGCCCTCTTAGGTCCACAGGCCAGAATTTACTTGCGGTCCCAAAGACCCACTATACGACCCGGGGGGACCGGTCCTTCCAGTCCGTGGCCCCCAGACTGTGGAACGCCCTGCCTCTGTCCCTCAGAGTGGTCAACTCTGCCGATGCTTTTCAAAAGGGACTAAAGACCCTTCTTTTTCAGGGCAGCTTTTGGTTAATTTCTTGTTTTTATGTTATTTTCTATTTTTGTCTTATTTCTATTGTACACTCATATCTGCTTTAACCTTGTACAGCACTTTGTGATTTTCATCTGTGAAAGGTGCTCTATAAATAAAATGTACTTACTTACTTACATTTTCTTTATATTACATTTCCACAAAACCTCAAAGTGATAAGAATCAAAATACAATACAGCAAACACAAAAAAACATAAATATGAATAAGGCCATATACAGATCGTGGTCTAAGCTTATTACACATAGTTATATCTTTACTACTATTAGTGCTTCTAAATGAAATGGATTCTTAATAATAATAACAACCCACAATAGATCTGGTGCAAATAAATGTCTTTATTGAGGAAAAGGCAAATACAAAACACAGAACTGTCCAAAGCTCATTACCATCATGATGTTATAAAAGATATGTTTGTAATTCTTTTCAGTTTCAGTTAAAAGCCGCACACGTGTGACCCACAAAAAGAAAGAGCAATAGATTTCAATATTTCATCTGTCTCTGTATATACAAATGAGGTAAAAACATTACATTTGATCACAATGTCTGCACCCCAACACAACAATAACGTCTGTCTATGGTACAAATGAATGAGTGAGTGTCCATAAAGTCTATCGGTGATATCTTTGTCCGAGTCTTTTCCAAATTATCCAAAAATCACAACATTCCTTCCAAAGCCAAAATAACGCAAACGATAATAAATTAAACTTTTGCCGAACAAGCTAAATATCTTTCTTTCTATTGTTTCTATAACTCTGCTCAGGTCAAGGTGCAGTGGTGCGATCGACCACAAAGCCAGGCACTTGATACATTAGATCCTCGGGGCCCGATGTTGGCTTACACGCGAGTAAAGTGGTGTTTTTTAAAAAGATTATTTCGTTCTGAATTGAATCACCGGCAGGGCTTTTTGTTTTTCTCCGTTTTAAGTTCTTGTGGAAATGACTGAAAACAAGTGAATGTGACGAAGCAAACAACGGCACCGATCTGAAAACACGAAGCTTGTGTCTTTTCTTGTCTTCATAACGAGACGTGACAGCGTTCATGCGGCTGTCGGCAGAGTGGTAGGTGTGAGATTAGGAATTATGGAAAAAAATAGCTGTTAGTATTTCATTGCAATCCAAGAAACACTTCCGCAGATTGGTCTTTAGATCTGCACCAAAAATAAATGCATTTTTTAACTATTTTGTATTAAAATATTGTGAATTTTTTTTCAAATAGTGTCTTATAAAAATGACTGTATTTTCTATAAACAGTAAGAGTTAAATCAATTGGAGTTCAAATGTTGGCTTTCTAAATTAAGCCAGAAGGTCATGATTGCACTGATGTCTCTTTGAATTAGTCCAAATAGATATATTACTAAATACATAGTAATATATTTAGAATTCTTTTAAATAGTTGGCTTCAAAATCAAATATTGGTGCATGTTTTTACAGCACCAGTGATCAGAACATTTCAAGTCACTATAATGTGCCACCGGGAAAGATGGTCATCCTTTAGTTGTCTTTGACTTCCAAATATTATTAATTCAATATTATTATAAATTGTGCCGACTAAAATCCGACAAATTGACTGCTCTGGGAGTTCCAAATCCTAACTTTTGCATGTTATTTCTGTGAATTTTAGAACTACGCAACTGATCTAAAAACAATAGATTTCCGTTTCCGCCGTGTATCACTGATAAAACCAAGGGCTAACCATATGCTAAAGAATGCTTTAAACGGCTTTAAAATTAAAGATGTTTATGGCGCTGGGACCAGAACATCTCCAATCGTCTTGTTATCGCGCGTAAAGGCCTACGGCTCGACCGTCTGTTTCTCCAGTCATTAACAACCTGCTTCCCCCGCAGCAGCCGCTCCCTTTGTAACAATTTATCGAGCAGTCACCTTGGAAATCCGTTTGACATCGTTTGTATTCCGTAGTGTTATAACAGGCCAGTGTTTGGTATGCCTGAGGACGCACGCGCACACCGCACAGTGGCGCAAAGCTTTGTGTTTCCTCTTTCCTTCTGTCCATTCGCTTTTCTTTGACACACAATGCTGTTTGAATTGCTGGGTCTCCCCTTGGGGTGGGAGGGAACCAACTGCAAAGGAGCAAGAATAGGAAATCAAATGAAGACCGGGGAGGGTTAGTGAGCGGAGAGCGTCGACTTACGACCCACGAAGCGGCAGAACACCCAGAATACAAAAAACACAAGTGGAAATCAACCTCACCCTGCCACCCAGTGATGGTCAAAGCACTTTTTTTCTGGTACAAACATTGACAAAAGCTGTGTACAGCCGGGCAGCATGGACCGCGTGAGAGTTCGGCGTATAAGTCCAGGCCTGTGTCGCGCGCTGCCCACTACAATCCCACTTATCTTCACAGTTTTAACCTCAGCGTGTGCTCCATTTGTATTTACAAGAATTCAGCAGCAACGGGCAAAAATAGTAGAACTCTGGCACACGTTAGTCTGGTACAAAAACACCCAGAGCGGTTTAATTTCACATTGTATAGGCCACGTTTTCTCAGCTTCCGAAAAAAGAGGTGCTTTTAGGGTTAGCTGTGTTTTTGTATATTTTTGGTTCAAATGCTCTGGAGGGAAAGTGTGCAAAGCAAAACGGTATGCTTGTACATCTGTGATGAAAAAGGCAGTCCTAATTATAGCCATGTAAACCTACATTTTACCCATTTTGATATCTGAAAGACTAATGCATTTGTACGTGAGCCAAATCTATTATATACTATGTTGTGTGGGTAACGCTAATCTGGGCATTAAAAAGAAACTAATAATCAAAGGGTTACTTATGCCATCATCCACAGCACTCACTCCCATTTCTGGTTATCCTTTTGATAAAAGCACTATTCATGCCTTAATCAGATGAACTTGCTTTGCATCTGCTTGTTTCTCGATATCTTCATTCATTAGCATACAGAGTCAGCTCCGTGGGGTTAATGGAAAGCCTTTTTGTAAAGACGACCAATCAGGGCTGAGCGAACATAAAAGCCTAAGAAAGAGTTATTCTGGTCTTTCTGGCATTGTGCACAATGTGTCCCAGAGCTTTGAAATAAATGTGAAATGTCATTCTGTGGCCCCCGTGTTTCTCTTGAAATCTACAACCATTAGAAAGTCCTCATAACAGGGCTTCGGAGGCTGTGACTGGAACTGATTTTTGTGACAGCAAAGCTAAGCTCAGTCATGATGAATATCCCGGGTTTAGAACGCTGTTCCCCTTCCCCAAAGTGACTGGCAGGTTTGATAAAGGCTGCCAAATTGTCATCCGAAGGTAGAAGGATGAATGTGTCATCCCTGGTAAATACAAAACCGCTTTCATCGTCTGTCAAGTGTGAGGCGATGGAGGGGGGGTGGGGCGGTGGCGATGTACACAACAGTATATGAGTCCGCGACCAGCCCCTTCCTCTCGGATAAATCTGCTAATTGATTGTGAAGTAGTATTCATAAGTCGCTTGCTTCGGCGCGTTCATACAGCGCTCTCAGCTTCTCGAACCTGGGCCCCCAATCGGCTAGCGTCTCCTCCCTCCGCACTTCCCCTGGCCCATCCGCTCCGCTGCTGGTCCCGTCCAGTCCCGCCGAGCTGAAGGAGCTGAGGGACCCCGCCGGAGAGCCTCCCCCCTCCGTGGAAAACACTTGTAGGGAGTCGAAGGGCCCAGTGTCCGAGTGCTGGTCTGCATCACGGATGATCTCACACAGGTACCGCGCCAGGTCCTGACTGGAGAAGGAGAGGGAGCGGCGGGCCAGCTGCGAGGGGAGCGCCTGACCCTGTGCGGGGGGTCTGGACAGAGTGGGGGGGACGTCACGGCGGAGGCTGGCGGAGGTGGTGGTGGTGGAAGCAGAGGAGGAGGCCACGGAAGGCGGCAGGGTGCTGGAGCTGGCTGTGCGGCTCAGGACGTCCAGAGGAGGGCCAGGAGTGGGGGCCGGGGATGGGCAGGAGGTCTGATGGAGCAGGTGGTGGTGGTGATGGTGGTGGTGGGGCGGAGGGGGTGGGTGGTGCAAGGCCCGGGAGCGGCAGTACTGGATGGACTGAGCCGGGCTGGGCTGGAGGGACTTCTGCAGCTCAGCCATGTCGTAGGCGTTCTGGACACAGAGAAAGAGACTTGTTCAACTCAGAATAATGCAACTGTTGTCAAGTTAGTAGAGCTCTCTTTTCAGATTCAGATTTATTTTGACATTTGCATAAAAATCACATTGGAAAACAAGTGAAAAAGTACCCCAGTGTGCACCGGACAGATATATAAATTCAAACAAGCTAAAAAGTGAACAAAAACCGTGTCAACACCAGTGCAAGATCACGACAAAAGCAGATTAGCGCACACTTGGCACCATCTGGGAACACATCCAAGGTTTTGTATTTCAACCCTATTCAAATGAGTAAATACCATATTTTTCAGTCGATATGTCACACTTGTATTCATAGTTTTGTTGGAAGTGCAATCAAAATATGAAATTATACGCTCACTGCCGGCGTTTAATTTGGTTTCAACTTCATGTTAATATACGCCATCACGATGCACAGTGAGAGGCGCACTCCTGACTTTTCATTGCGCGGAAAGTCTGCACAGTGGTCGTGCCAAAGTCAAAGTCAGTGTGAGCCAGGAGTGATGATTTGAGCTCATTTTCTCATATTTGAACAGCTATTTCATTTTTATGCGGTTTGGCTTCAATAGGTGTTTCACTTCAGCCAAAACCCTCATTTGTTTATGCTTTGTTTACTATTGTAGAGTGAAGAGACTGAAATTAATAAACTATTCCTACTGTTCTTCTGTGTGTTGATATTTCAGTCTCTCAACGAACACATTGTTACATTGCCTTGGAAACTACCGTGGTTCACAAGACCAAAGAAGAAACTCTAACACGTTGCTTGGATGTCGGGAAGAGTGATGCCCTAGATCTGTCCACTGTGTCCAGCTCAAACCGCATTTCTCTTCTTCTCAAAGTCTAAACATCATATTTTGTAGTGAGAATCTTTCCTCTTCTATCCTTTACCATAATATCAGATTGCATTAGAATTAAACCTTGACAATGGATGTAATGTATGGTCATGTATCCATCTACTTTTGGGGGTTTTTTGCAACCGGTTCAAGGACTACAGGTGTAAGTTAGTGCTCCTGCAGTAACCTGGTACAATGCATCTCTTCTTTCGTACATTCATTCATTTTCTACCCATTTATTAATGAAATTCTGGGTCAGGGGGGTGACGATCAGAGCTGGTCTTATGGGGGGACTGAACCAAGCCCCGGTGATCCAAGATAGCGCCATATTCAAATGAATGGCTTGTGCTCAGTAGCGCATGGGACTTCAGAGACCGGGAGATTAGCAGAACTCGCCTATATTGGGGCATTGTCTGGTCCTCCCGGTTCTGTGCGGTGGACGAGCTCCCATGATGCGATCAGAACTGCTGATCAGAAAAGCAGCAGAACTGAGTCAGAGCTTGAAGGAAAGGAGCAGAGTTTGTGGCAGTATAGTGTGGATTTAAAGAAAACAGAAGGATTTAAGAAGAAAAAAAGTTCAGTATGACAAGGGACACTAAAATTCCCACAAAATCCGATATTTCTGAAAGCTGTAGGTTCTCTGTCAGCTGAGGTCGAGTTGTTTTAATTTACATTGTGTTCTTTGGGACTTTTTTCTGGGTAGCCCGCGTGAATTTTGTTTGCAGTACCACGGGTGGGACAGCTGAAAACTGACCCTATCCAGTTATTATTATAGATCCATGGATTGAACCAACAACCCTCGGTCCCAACAGCCAATGCTCTACCAACTGAGCCACTGTACTCGATCTCTTCTTTCAGCTAATGTTTATTTTATACCGTCCCTGTAGAAATTGTGTTCATTACATGTATGGACATTCGTCATCCGGCCATTATGGATGTGTTTTTGGATCATTTCATTTCTTGATTTCGAACGGTTTGATTCTCGGATCTGTGTTGGCGAATCGACGGTTTTGTAAAGTCCTCTGAGATAACGACTGTTGTGATTTAGGGCTATATAAAAATAAATTGAATATAAATACATATCATACCAATACCAATAGAGGCAAATCCATCGTAAGCTCATTTAGTTATTCATGTAATGGCAATACATTTGTAGAACTTTATTGTATAGAGGCATCGTTTCATGTATCGCTTCATTTCCACATCAGCTTGTTGCTTGTTGAGCCCATTCCACCCACATCGAGTAATCCAAAAACTGTCTTTTTTTTCCAGAGAGTGAACATGTCCAGTCTCCAGTAGTGTCTTGTAAAGCCTGGGCAGCAGTAACACAAAGTTGTGAACGGCTGAAGTGAACACCCGGGGAGTCAAAGCTGTGTACGCCAGAGGAGAGATAGATGTAGACAGACAGAGGAGCGAGCAGAAACGTTTTGGGGATGAGATGTACTGGTAAAAATCAGATGTGACAGCAAGAGAGCAGAAAAACAATCAGGACCAACATTAGGTTTACTGTGAACGTTCCACACGTTTAGTTTTGCAATCTATCTCCATTTATTCACCCCGGGACGTCATATTAACTTTCTGTGCCAGATAGAAAATGGCGGAGAGTGAGTGGATGTAATGTGCGGCGATGAGGGTGCATTTCAACTTCTCTCTGGAACTAAAAACTGGTGTCATGGGGTTTGAATAAGCAGTGTAAAGGCGTAAAGTCACTGTCAACCCATCCCAGATAATGGTCTGGGATTCAAAGTGACGCAGTGACTTTCCAGCCTGTTTCTTTGCTGAGCACTTCTTATTCTCACAATTTTCTCTGTGAATGTGCTGGATCAACTATTGTGGTCCACCATCATTGAAAATTATGTGTATCTCTAAAACAGGGGAGGCCAAATAATGTTGCTCTTGTTTTTGGGTTGGGGCAAATATTTTCTTTTAGACTGTACTTGCCATGTACTATGCCAAAATATATGGTCTTCTTTGTCTAGATATAGCCCCCCATAAACACACCATGGAGGTATTTTGATCTGTTACTTTTCTGAATCCATTGAGTTCAAGTATGTTCAGGATCAAAGGTAAAGAAGAATTGCTATTGTAGAGGCCAATTATTACTTCATTTTCATTTTCACTAATTGTGGTTTTGAGTTCAATGTTTAGAATGCATGCAATTATGGGGAACATTTGCGTTAACAAAACTAACCTGCTATAACATGCCATGGTCGTACCTCTTACTATCAAAGCTTGCAGTTTAACAATTGAGAATCATTTGCACTGAAAATGGAAACCAAGGATGTTCTTGCTAAGCTGTAACCATCGTGCCCACCCAATGGCAAAACAGATATTATTTAAGCGGAAACATAGGAATGTAGTCTCAAGTCAATAGTACTGGGAGCAGTGGTCAGCTGCGACTGTGGGGTCTGGCTCATGGCCTGTACCTCATCTCTTTTTTGGGTCCTTTGTCATGGTTTTACCTATTTTTTGTGACTGTGTGTGTGTGTGTATGTGTGTTGGTGTTGATTGTTTGGGTGGATGTGTATGTGGGAAAGTTTTTAACCAAACACAATCCCATATAGAAGCACTTTATGTTGCATTAGTTATACAGAAAGTCCTTTATAAATAAAACTTGATATATATAACTGTACAGTATCTAAACTGTATTCATGATTGCAGATGGAGGACAGGGATCTACAACCTCTTTAGCAGGTATTTAGCAGTTGTGAAGTTCAGTTTAACCATATGGAAAGACCAAGATAACATGCAGTTTCAAATTCTAAATATAACATAAAAAAGGAAACTATACTGTGCCAATGAAAAAATATAAAAAACACCATATGTCACAGCTCCCAAGGGTACAAACGGCTTTTACACACATTGCAACTATCAATCACTCGTAAAGTAGCGTTATGTTATGGAAATAAGCATACATCTTGCATAAAATAACATGAAACAGACGTATCCAGGGGGAATCTTGGGGACTGTGTGGAACTTAAGAGCGTAAAGTGCTGCTTCCATTCCCCGGAGAGATCTTCAATGAGACTCCTGGGACTCTCTGCTGCTTGAGATTGGTCTGGAAAAGCAGATTTGATTGCGTGTTGACTGCAGGTAAGTCTGTATTTTCAAGTATAGCATTTGACTCTTGTTTAAGGGTCTTGCATGCGTTTGCTTTGATTAACACGCAATGTTATGCAAGCGCAGTGCTTGTGGGTTACAGTGGAGAGGCTCGATAAGGATTTGGCGTGGGCCTAATTAAAACACTAGCCCACACAAGCAAGCAGGATTTATTTTTCAGTTGAATTTGGTCCAAATGTTGAAATCATGTTTTCTCTTTGATGCCGGGCCTCTGTGCGGCTGTCATCTTACAAGGACGCAGTGTGTGAGGAAGTCACCTGCTCCCACGGTATTCTTCTCAACACAATAGACAATGTGCTTTTTATATCTGTACACAAATATTTGTTCCTGCCCAATTTGTATGTTTTATTTATGGTGACTAGTTCTTTACACACTTGCTGAAAATAATGTTGTTGGAGCAGCTCATAACTGAACATTGAGGTTAATACCATGGACTTGTCTTTTCCCCGTGGGAGCAGGGCCCTGGGGACTTGCCAGGTTGTTCCTAGAAGGGTCTTTCTCCAGCAAAACCCTTCCAAGGCTTTCAAAGCTGTCGGTAACAGCACAGCCTTGATTTTTCAGTGGCGGCTTCAGGCAAAGTGGGGTTGAGTGTCTTGCCCAAGGACACAACGACAGCAGTCATCAGTGGGAGTTGTTCTAGTGGTGGACTTCAGGCTCAAAGGCCAATACTCTACCAACTGAGCCACTGTCACCCCCAAATATAGTCATATACAGCCATGTTCTCACCATATTGCGTTTAAGCTTTTGTGTGAATGTGTTGGTTTAATGCTGCGCAGCGCCTCTAACCCTCATGGGCTCATGTGTTTTTTTTATCCTGACTTAGGGTTTACCCTTGTAGCTGCCAATCAGCTCCAAGTCTTAGATGGATAGATACTTTGATTGCCATTAGGATAAAATCAGGTGTGCAGCAGCAGAAACACATACAGTACATAATTCCAAAAAGGTTCAAACTAGCAAAGAAACACCCCCCATGATGAACCTCCCCAGCGGTTTGACTGCATAAGCACTTTGATTATACATTTTCACTCCCAAAAACAAAAAGATGCAAACCACATACCAAGGCCGATATGAAGCCTGGGCCAATCTGACTAACCATCAGTAGGATATGCAAGCCACAGACTGTGCATTAAAGAAAGATAATTATGAGCGAGATGCACCTAAGCTTTAAAAAACATGTGTCAAAGTCAAGGCCCGCGGGCCAAATCCGGCCCGCAAATGAATTATCTATGGCCCCCGGGACATTGCCTGCCATTGAGGCAATGTATTAACCCCCTAAGCTCGCTAGCCCCCGCCGGCGGGAGCAAACGAGGAAAAAAGTACATCTGCTGGCAATAGCAGATGTATTTTGAACTTCATAAGCCACAAGCTATATATCATTTAAAAGCTTATTTTCTCAGCTATATTTATATGTAAGTGTAAACAATATCAGACTTTGCATTAAAAAGATATAACGCATAATATGGGCACAAAATAAATCACGTCTGTATTTGTTTTTTACCTTTCGTCTTCTGCTGCTCCAACAAATTAGACTTTCCCCATCCTTGCTCAGTCGCTTTCTCTCCGTAACTGTCTATTGAAGAAGAATATCCACTTGTATTTCCCAAAGTATAATCCATTCTGCAGATTTAATCAAAAAACGCCCCGAAAAGAGGTCCAGACTGCTCTTTTACATTTCACCAAGTTTGAGCTTTTTTTTTTTTTTTTACTATTTTCATGTTCTCAGATGTCTATTACATCTAATATGTACAGTATGAGGATTGGCTTTAGAGCATATTTTATCGAGCCAACAGGTGTCACCGGCACTGCCTCTGGATGTTGAGAAACATTTTTTTTTGGCCCTCTGATGTATTTGACTTTGACATGCCTGCTTTAAAAGGTGACACACCCTGTCAGGCTGATTCGCTAATAACACAGATCAACTCTACAGAGACACACTCGAGCTGCCATGTTTTTTCACCACATGCCGAGGCTCTATGTCTTTACCTGGTCCTCCTCGCCGCCTCCCTCTTCGTCATAGTTGAGCACGTTCTCCCTGATGTCCTCCCATCCATCGTGGTGGGCCGACACGTGGTACACCCCCTCTTTAAGGCCTTTGTAGCTCCTCCAGCGAGTGTACAAGAAGATACCCAGAAGCAGCACTGCAACACACATAGACACGCACACATTCTATTAGCAATAGAATGTAAAAATCCACAAGATCAAGATCCCTCGGCCAATTAGGACAAAGCCCCGTAGAGAGGGGAGCCGTCTGATGGAGCTGGCCCGCGAAGCACCCTCCGGCTCGGATATGGACTGAAATGTGATAAGTGGTTAAATGGTCGTAATGTTTATGCTAATAGCTTTTCCCACTACTTTCAACATATCGGAGCAGGCGTAGCGGGTTGTGCATACTAATATTGAATCTAATCAAGATCAGACTGCACTGTACATAGCCTTAAGAAATGCGCAGAGTATAAAGAGCAATTTGCAGATGTGATAACGGAGTGGAACATGGCAGGCCTATGAAGCAAAGCCAGTGAACTCTCAGGCTTTGGCAGAACACCTCAGGCAGTCACACAAAAAACAATCCAACATCAAAACGATATGATTTAAATGAATGTTGAAGCGCACCAAAGATGAGAAGCATAATTTCTACTTTCTTATTCAATGTAGTGAATTCCAACTAAACCCTTCAGTCAGTAATTTGACATTAGCTTTTTATGTTATGTAGTAATTGAGTAAATGAGTGTTCCCATTTTCCGATTAGACAAGTGGATTAGTCCAGTGGTCCCCAACCCCCTGGTTATTTGGGGGTATTTGGCACCGGGCTGCAAGGATAGAATATTTAGATTTTTTTCCGACTAACTTGGGTGTTTTCTGACCAGTCCATGGGAGCTTGAACTATACTTTATAATGAAAAACGACTGGATTCTCTCCACACAGCTTGGTCACATTACAGGATAGCATGTCGTGCATCCGTGCAAAATGACATCACATGTGTCCTCTCCTACTTTACTTTACTCATCTGTGCAATCATTATTTTGAAGAATGTCAGAATGTGCAATTTAGATCCACATGTGTCCACTGTCACGTTTCTAAGTCACTTTCTCCTCATACTGGTTACTGTCATTTTAGCTCATATACTGCACTTTATTAATTCATCCATTTAATTTATCACAACTAAATTGCCCATTTTGTTAAAGCGCCAGCACTAAACGGCCTAATTCACAAACATGAGATTGCACAAATTGATGTGATTACTTGTACACACTACACAAAAACAGACAATAATAAATGAACTGAAAACCAGGGTTTAGAATAAAGAATAACTTTAAGCCTCAGCAAGTGCTATATCTAAAAACCTTCTGACTGCGCACACTCCTTCACTTGAATCTCTAGGTTATTTTTCTCAGAAATCTTTCACGTTTAAGAATTCCAAGACTGCTATGATTCCTCGCCGCACTTGCGCTACAGTAACAATTCCAATGACTGTGGCCAAAAAATGTATAATGTTCATCATTTTCTTCATTCCATGTTTTGACAATCGTTTATAAAGAAAGAAGAGCCATAAAACTAGACTGTAATGTAATATATGGAGTATAGACGTATGAAAAATACATGTATGTGTAATTAAACATGTATAAGATAGAAAATGAAAGGAGGGGTCATGATGTTAATAGTGTAATTACCGCTCAAATGAAATACATAGAATTCAAAGCTTCTGATGGAATAATAATCCATTGTGTCCCCGTTGAGCTAACATGTTATAACAAAGTTGAAGATTTTAGACTTGCTTTCTTACTATGCTATAAGTAAATATTGTATTTTATAGAGGGAGTGTTCATTTATCTTGTGTTGTGTGCTCCTCATTCCTACTGTGCTCTAACCGTTCTGCTGCACTGAAATGTTCCCACTGTGGGAGGAATAAAGGATCTCTTAATCTTAATCTTAAATCTTAAAATTCCAGTATGAGAAGGGAAAAGCGTGCCTCCCACAGACGTCTATGGGGCCTTCACCGCATATAGAAAGCAAGATCGGTCCAGCGCACTGCACATCAGTTTTTAATGAAGTGTTAAAATACGGTATAACGAGAAAAGCGCATGGATCCAGTGCAGCGTAATCAAAGGAGACGAGAAGAGTGGAGACAAAAGAGAAAGGTTCAAGGTTCAACTTTATTGTTCCCTCATGGAAATGAAGTCTGCAGAGATTCAATCTGGTAGGCTATCTGCGGCAGCCAATCAAAGCCTTCACCCTCGGCCAATCACACAGCGCTGCCAACGTACGCCAATTAAGCCAGCTGGTTAAAAGCGGAAACTTCGAATCATCTAACCCCTTTTCCCAAGCTGTTCTGGAAGAGTCACTTTCATCTACTCACACTTCGCAACCACCACCAAATTTTGTCTGTGTAGTCTCTCCAGATTGAAATGTAGGCTCTAAGCTGTTGGACACAAACATACAGGACAACGGTCTGCACAGTTATAGCCTGGTCGTACCACACCATAGTACAAATTACAATTCGTACTAAGATCTGGAGATGCTCCATTGAGCTTCGTTAACAGGTGGGAGGGGTTAACTCCATTTGCAGATTGAAACGATTGGATCTGAGATTACCGTCACGTATGTAATGCGCCCGAGTGAGTCGTTAGCATTTAGCATTTAGCCTAGCCATCTCCTTTGCCGCTGACGGAACGTGGGAAGTAGCGCCACAATCTTTGCCAGCAAAGACTTTAGCTATGCATTCCTCTTGCCATGGATAACATTTCTTGATAGAACCAGACCGGATTACTTTACTACCGCATTCTTCGCCATTGCCAAACTACAACCTGCCTGTTCGGCGCAAACCCATGACGTCACCCACATCTAACTACAACACCCGCCTCCCACGCTCGCTGAATGGTCGGATGGTATTCAACTGATTGTAATCGCAAACACGGGGACCAGATCTAGACGTTACATGCAGGGAAATGATAACTGACCGGCGTGTACTGATGGCTAAGGCCAGGCTAGCACAATTATAACACAAGAATATACTACAGTATTACGCAGTCCCATTGGTGCAAGGATACAAAATAATACACTAGTGAAAGACCACGGATGAAAAGCAACAAAGTACATATAATGAGTAAAAGGATTTAAGGTCAAACCATGAAGACTGGAGCAAGGACCGCAACGGTGTCCATGGACAGGAGCCCACACAGCCCATGGAAATAACAGTTTATCAACAAAAGAGGACGAATAATGCTGGATTAACCAATCACTGGCAAACAGTGTATTGCATGATGATTCAAGAAATATTAGGCAACAATAATGGGTAATATAAGATAAAATAACCTATATTCATGCCGCATTGGGGACCTCTCAGACATCTATATAACTCCCTATGATTCCATTTTGAGCAATCAAAACATCTGTGTGTCCAAGCTTTCTCACCACACTCAAACCTTTCCAAAGCCAATGCATAATAGTCACTCAACTGTAGCGATGCATACTGAATAAAGAAGTCAATTTCACGTCGCACTGTATTCAAAAACTCAGATTAGTGGATTTGTCTGCTGTCTATACACCCTGAGGCGGAACAAAGCAGTTGTATTGAAAACTATATGGACCACATTTATAAATATTGCATTTATTTTGCAGCAGCTTGCATGTTTAAAAGGGGATCAACATTAGCAGTAATTGTGAATAGGGAATGCTAATATATATATAGCTAATGGGTACATTGGATGTATTATGTAAATCAGAGAAGCATTACAGCAGATGACTATTCCCTCCATGAAATGCCTGCACCTGTGGGCATTTTGGCTCTTGCATAGCTAATTCTGTGCTTTTAGAAAAGATGGGGAAAATAAACACGTTAACAATGCCCAAGCTGACAGGGGCCAAATATGTTATTACAGCTAATTGCCATCTCATTACCAACTGACACATTATGGGAATTTTGCACTACGAAAACTAATGCTCTCCAGCCTATACAAGGTGTTAAATCTAATTACAGTAAATACATAGATAAAATAAAAACACGCTGGAATAACCGCGCCTCCTCATGTGCCAGATGTGGAGTTAGTTTGTATTACATTGCCATAGTTATATTGTTACGTTTGGAAAGATCGATTTATGATTTGTGAATTTGTGACTTTAGTAAAGACTCCACCCTCCTCACTCCCAAATCCAAACACCGGACAATGGGACACTGAGTATTTTCCATCTCGGCTTCCGCCCTCTGGAACTCTCTCAACCCCCCCTCATTAAAGTATGTACTAGGGTTGGGCGATATTTTTTTTGTACCGGTATACCGGTATAAGTAAATTAAATGATAAGAAAATGCCTTATACCGGTGAAAACGATCATTTAACACTGAAAACAGCGAGCGGAAGACACGTTTGTGTGCGGCGCACTTTGATGACGCATCTGCGCGTCACGTGTAGCAGAGCGGCGTGCAGGGACAACAACAACAGAGCAGAGAGCAAACATGGCTGAGGGCGGCGGTGAAGACCATGGTGAAGACATGCAGATTGTAGAAGACATTGTGCCAAAACGCGGAGCTACCTCAAACATATGGGAGTAGTTTGGGAACTAGATAAAAAGAAGCAATTGTGTGTAACTATCGACAGTGGATCTAATGTTGTGAAAGCAGCTGCCCTAAACAACTGGACTCGAGTGGCTTGCTTCGGACACTCGCTCTCTCGCTCTCTCTCTCATAGTGCCATTGGTAAGCTTTATTTACTGTTTACTGTCATTCATTTTACTTCAATGCATGTGTTTGTCTACATTGCAATATAATTACAAATAAGTTATAATTACATAATTATAGAAACGCAAAAGGATACAAAAAATATATACAGTATATATCATTTTGACTATATTGGGATTAGGAAACATAAGCCAAAGTGATCAAATAATTATTTGATAATGCTACACCGTTTATATTACAAAGGACAAACTTTTATATATTTTACAAATTACAAATGTTCACCTTTATTACCTGATGCCTGCAATTTTCAGTATGTACAAAACAGAATTCTCTACAATTCACGTTAATACGTTAATACGTTTTATATACAATAGCTGTATTACACATTTTGCTGCCAATAAATCAGTAAATGCACTTTGAGGCAAGTGTGTTTAAAGTTTTTATAGCTTTTATATGAGGCTTTGTTCAAATTATCATATCG